CTCATAATAAATGCATCATGTCATTGTGCATCTGGTTCATCATTTAACTGCAAGTTATAATGGTATATTTCGCTCAGATGACATAACTCTACAGAACTCTACTGATTTATATACAAATATATGAAAACCTACTCCTTTCAAAAACTAATAAGGATTTTGTATTCTTTGTTTTTTTCTGGCTACTTTTATATTTTGGTTTTGTATTGGCTAGTACATTATCGTTTATATTTTATAACCAACAACTAACAAGATCAGCTCATTGATTTGTCAATATTTCAGTTGTTAGGTGGTAACCTAATATTATTTTAATGCAGACTATTTAGTGGATTCATAATATCTTGGAGCACAAGATTGTGGATTCTTATGGTACAGTACTTTGCCCAACACAAAAAAGAGATTCCTTTTATAATGTAGCTGCAATTTTGTTTGGTGTCTGAGAGCATTCTAGAAAATAACCATGCATTAGGCTACACTTACCGATTCTTCAGTGTTAGGAAGATTTGAGCATTTGTGATTAATGACTGATTGAAAAAAAAAAACAACCCACCTTTTATTGTACCTTTTATTGTATATTCCACATTTAGGATTTTTTGTTCCTTTCCTAATGCCTGTTTTGCACTCACGGGCAAGTATGTGGTAGGTGGGTTGCCCCCCAGATGTGTGTGTGGGGTGAAGGTGGGCTGCTGCTGGCTTGCCGTGAGCGCCAAACTTCCTCGCCACGGTACTGAAAAATGGTGCAGATAATGCGATACTTGTATTGCAAAAAAGAATCTCTCTAATACTGGGTGAGCTCTGCAATAGTATCTTTGTGTTGTGGATGAGCTTACGTTTTTTCCTGTGACAGATTGGCAATATGTATTTGCTTATAGTTATGAGCTCTTTCACAAAATGTACTTCAGCTTACCCAGTAAGACAGGGGTGCTCAATTCCTGGCCCACTGGCCAAGTCTGGCTAGCAAAGCCATGTCATTTGGCTCACTGGGCTCCTCATAATTCCCTGGATCTCTGCTCCCATAGGTTCTGGAACTGCCAAATTCCAGGATTTGTGGGGAACCCGGCAGGCGGAAAGCACAGCCGTGAGTGGCAACCCATGAGGGACCTAGCCCATAGACTGGCCCCATGCCACTTATCTGGCCTTTCGGGCCAAAAAATTGAGCACCACTGCGGTAAGACATCAAGGCAGTCTGACAGCTGCAGAGGCTTTAGTGAATAAATTCTTTACCAGGTTTGGGGTCCCGAGTGAAATGCAAACAGATAAAGTGAGAAACTCTGAATCTAGAGTGCATCAGGCAGTGGAGGATCCACAAAGTACTCACCATTCCTGCACACCCGACACACTGATAGGCTGGTGGAAATTATTTGGTTCTATTTCTAAAACATTCTAGAATGGTGCGTGCTATCCCATTCTTCCTAGATGGGTGGTAGAACAGCAGTTGAGGGGAGTACAAATAGTACCCAGCACTCCTTGTATTTGGACCTGTGCCAAGGATCCCAGAAAAGGCCTTGTGCAGAGTTTCTGAATCAGAACAAAGGGGTTTCGACCATTTTTCTTCTATAGAAACCTAACAATCTAAAACAAAAAAGCTTATACTTTGGTGAAGGTAGCCACCAATGGGAAAAAAGCAAGCCCAGGAAACCTTGTATGATGGAGGTTCAATTGGATAAACTTTTGAAAGCAGAGAATCTGGTCTGACTCCACAATCCTAAGAGGGCAGGAGACCAGAGTTGCATTACTGGCCTGGGTAAATGAAGTAGTGTAGAGGATAAATAGTCTTGGACTAATCCTAAAGCTATCCATGAGAACTATCTATCATGACTGAGGCATCAGGGGTTGGGATTTCAGTGTGGCTGCCCCCAAAATGGAAAGGGGAGCTGAGCCCAGAAAAAAATGTCCCATTGTAGTAGAATGGACAGAATTCCCAACAAATTCCACCAAAACAATCACTGCTCCTGCGGGGCTTACAGAGAGAGGCCCTTCCCTGGTAGTTATTTCCCTAAAAGAAAATCAAGAGTTGAACAACTCCGAAGTGGCTTGGATGGAAGTAAAATGTGCTTGGGTCGGAGACATGGAAATATCTTGCCAGACTGTTCCTACAAATAATTAAGTACCATTCATGGTTTGTTAATTCATCTCATTTCTCTGTCATGCAAATGAATTGTTCAAGGTGTACCCATTTTAGGCTCAGTCAGGGTAATGAGCAAAACTAAGGTAGTCTCTGCATGAGCAGTTGGGCTAAACTTTGTTGAAACTGGCAGATTTAACCACTTTTCCCTCAAGGCAGTCATGTGGGACAGTTCTGTACATGTTTTACCCAAGGAAAATGCAACAGCTATCCAGGCACTTGAACACTTTTGCAGGTGTTGCTGTGTTAGAATAATTGCACTGCTATTCAGCATAGTTATGACAGCAAAACTTTTAATTGCAAACCTGGCCTTTAATGGCCTACGTCACTTGAGATCCTGAATTTCAATAAAAAAAGCTGTCAGTTGTAGGGTAAAATTAGTTTATGGTGATTAGTTGTCAGGCAGCTAATTAAAAAAAGAGGAGAGTTTTTATAGATAGTTTTATAACCTCATAAATCTTCAACTTTTAAATTCACAGCAAAGGTTGGGGGTCCTTCTCTATTTCTCAGCAAAAATAGAAAATTAGAGATTTATTGTGAAACCTCGTTATTATGAATTCATTATTTAAGAATAATATTCAGTTTATTCAGTAATGTCTATGAAGCATAGTAAGTAATAATAGAAATTTATCTGTAAACATTAAATTAAATTACTATTGTGCCGTTTATAATGAATGAGCCTCCTTTTTTTACTGTTCTTTGCTTTGCAAAGCCCAGTCATTCACAGTGGCTCACAAATGTGAGTTTATGAGGGTCTCCTGCATGTTTGTGAATAGATCTCGTCTGTGTCAGCTTAGTCCACATCCTGTGATGTGCAGGAGTTGTTACTTTGGTGCAGAAATCTGTTTGACAGAATGTAAATGGAAGTGTAATTTGAAAAATGCTGTAGTATAAAGGGAGCCATTTTTTCCAGGTAAGGAAAGGAAGAGCTCTGCACTATCTAAAAAAAAAGGGGGGGGGGGGCGGATTCTAAAAGCTTGTTTCAAACTAGTTACCCTGGCAGAGAGAGACACGTTTTGTCTCATGGAACGTGTGTGTGTGTAATGCTGTGTTTACACGTCTACATCTCTGGAGTTCTGTCAGGTAAAGAATAACTTTAAAGTGAAGTTCAAGCCACCAAGGAAATGGACTGCTAGGGTTTGCCTGGGGTTCTGCTGCCCTGTCTGGTCCCCTGGTAAAGCCAGCTTTGCCCACTTTGGGAAAGATGCAGGTCAGCTGCAAGCACCCTACACCATAACAGTTACTTCCCTTGTATACTTGCCATCTCCTGAGGGCCAAGCATTATAGATTATTCAAGGATTGAAACTAGTCCATTTTTAAAAATGGTGATCTTACACTAGGGTGCCCACTTGGTTGACAGGTTTACTGTGTAGCCTAGCAGGTGTTTGAAACTAATAACTAAAAGAGCAGTGATGATGAACTGAATTTTTAAAAATGTATTTGTATTTGAAGCAATTGGCTTTTAAACCTAGCTGACAAAGGTACTGGCCTTTCAAATACAGCAAAAGTTTGCAGATGACACCAAACTGGGGGGAGCAGTAGATATGCTGGAGGGTAAGGCTAGGATTCAGTGGGCTAGACAAATTGGAGGATTGGGCCAAAGGAAAACACATGAGGTTCAACAAGGAGAAGCACAAAGTCCTGCACTTAGGACAGAACAATCCCATGCACCAGTACAGGCTGGGGGCTAACAGCCTGGGCAGCAGCTCTGCAGAAAAGGACCTGGGGGTTACAGCAGGCAGTAAGCTGAGTATGAGCCAGCAGTGTGCCCTTGTTCAAAGAAAGCTAAAGGCATACTGGGCTGCATTGGTAGGAGTGTTGCCAGCAGGTCAAGGGAAGTGATTATTCTCCTCTATTCAGCACTGGTGAGGCCACATCTGGAGTCCTGTGTTCAGTTTTGGGCCCCCCACTACAGAAAATATGTGAACAAATAGGAGAGAGTCCAGCGGAGGGCAACAAATACAGTGAGGGGGTTGGGGCCCATAACTTCTGAGGAGAGGCTGAGGGAACTAGGCTTATTTAGTCTAGAGAAGAGGTGACTGAGAGGGGATTTAATAGCAGCCTTCAACTACATTAAAGGGGGTTTGAAAGAGGATAGAGCTAGACTGTTTTCAGTGGTAGTAGATGACAGAACAAGAAGCAACAGTCTCAAGTTGCAGCAGGGGAAGTTTAGATTAGATATTAGGAAAAATTTTCTCATTAGACGGGCAGTAAAACACTAGAACAGGTTACCCAGAGAGGTGGTGGAATCTCCATCCTTGGACGTTTTTAAGACCTGTCTAGAAAAAGCTTTGGCTGGGATGATCTAGTTGGGGATGGTCTTGCTTCGAGGATTGGACCAGATAACCTCCTGAGGTCCCCTCCAACCTTAATTTTCTATGATTCTATGAAAAGAGGCTTAATTGAACTCAGCAATGGTAACATATGCCCCCTTCAGTTTTAGCGTCTTGGTCATCCATTACTCTGCAGTGAATAATATTTTACTTTTACTATTATTATTACTGTTATGAGTTATTTTACCTTATTTTTGTTTCTGTAGGTCTCTATCCAGAAAAGTGCTTAAGCATATGCTTAACTTTTAAGTTGTGAGCAGCTGATAGAGGAGGAAGTCATGATAAGTGACAGGTTCACAATAGTCCTGACATGGTCTTATGCAGATCCACTTTCTTTTCCAGTATTTTTCCCCTTAGATTGGGCTGATTTGTTAAAACCTCAGGGTATCAAAAGCTTGGATAGAGCCATGCTTTCTGATGCAGTTCCTCTGCTTCTCTGCCCAGGTAGTTGTGCTGTTTTGTGCAACTGTCCTGCAGACTAGATCTATGAAGGAAATTCTGAACAATTCAGATACTTGCTGATGCATTTTCTTCCTCTGTTTCAGAAAATCTTCAGAAGAACTGGACATGGATAAAGTGACAGCAGCTATGGTACTAACCAGTTTGTCCACCAGCCCTTTGGTTCGCAGCCCTCCTGTCCGACCCAGTGGTAAGCTTACATAATGCTCTGGGGGGTTGTGAAGAGCGGGAATATAATATATTAAGAATCTGAACGTTGCTTTTCAGTTTTGCAGCAGATGCCTTGTACATCTGAGTAAGTATGGCAAGATATAATTTTCTTATTTCACCAGTAGCAGCAGTAATAATACAACTGGAAAAGGAAATAGCAGAAAAGTTTACCCATTGTCATTCCAACTAAGGGACTTAGAGAGTAACTTGTTATCAGGAATATTATAATCAGGTCAATGAGAACAAGAAGGCTTATGGAATCATTCTGTGGTGCGGACTGTTGTATACTATATTTATACCATACCTACCTCTAGAGTACTGAGGGTCTCTAGACTCTATTCCAGTAGAGAAAGTACCTGAAAATAAGGCTTTTTAAGAGGCAGTAGAGCGATAACAGCCTGTGTCAAACAAGCTTAGCCCTCCAAGGGAGCAAAGACTATAAACAATCCACCAATCAGAAACAAACTGAGAGAAAGCAGGCACTACCCCTTTCCTGAAGGGAGGGGGAAAGGAGCTCCCTGACTGGACTGTGGATTGCAGCACAGCGGATCTGCCAGACTTCATGGGTGGAACCCCCAAAGCGTATAAAAGGAGAGCATGCTCAACACGCTGGAAGAGAGATGTGCCAAGGGACAGCAAGGAGAGAGGAGCTCCAGAGATGATTGTCCTTGGGACTCTGCCTGAGCCTTAATGGTGTGCGGATAGGTGCATGGCGCTCAGGCTCCAGGAGCCACTCAAGGCGGCTTGAGCCTGAGAGCCCGGCAAGTGACTAGGCGGGCAGTACGTGGATTGGCGCATGGGGAGCCAGGCCTGGGAGCAGCTTGAGGCTGCTCAGGCCTCACCCGGTGTGTGGACCAGCACACGGAGAGCCACCCCTGGAAATGGCTCAAGACTGCTCGTGCCCCACACGATGTGCAGGTCAGTGCAGGGAGAGTCAAGCTCAAGAGCAGTTCAAGGCTGCTCAAGTTAGCTCCAGCTCTAGGTCAGGTAACCAGAGCCCCACAGTGTGGCTCAGCATTAAACTAAAAGAGCCCTGGTGCCCAGAGCAGGGCCCAGGAAAGGGAAGGACCCCCGGCATGAAGCCAGGGAACTGGAGCCAGTAAGGGCTGGGCTCCCGTAAGAGCGCCCTAGGTGCTTAGTGTGGGGCACCAGGCCATCAAGAGGAGCCGGAGGCACCGCCGGAGAGAGGCCCTTGCGGGACTGGCCACCAGGGGACGAACCTTGGCTGCTTCAGAGCGGGAGCAGGAGTTGCTGGGAAAGCAGGCCCCACAGGGGAGGAGGGCTTGGGAGAGGAGGGTCTGCAGCCTCCACCCTCCTCCATTGTGGCAGGGGGCGTGTCCACATCCCCACGGCCCTAAAGGGAGAGGCTCCAGGGAACATCCTGTGGGGTGCTGGTTGCACCCCATATTTTGTGATTGTACTGTAGAGGTTAATATAGTTATGGGTACCCCTTAAGGGGGTTTATATGGGTTTACCTGTCTTCATTACCTGTATATGTTTACTGCCTATTATTGGAATATTGCTACCTCAACTTACCTGGGTTTATCTAAGTTGATTTTTGTGTGTGTTTATTATGTTGATGCCTTGACTTACCTGTTCCAGGGTGTTAATGTTCATCTGTGCAGGGGGTTAATTATTACCTATGCTGTGAATCACCTGTTCTATGTTTTGAAGTCCCTCGAAGTGGTGCAATGTGTTGATTGCAGGTTATTGTGACAGGTATCACATACTAATTCTACTGTAAGTATTTAATGTCTATTATTTATATTTATTTTGTATAGCAATAAATTTGTATATAGTGAAGTGCTTTGTCCTGGCCTGGCTTTATAGAGAAAAGAAGAAACTGCTCCCCAGTAGCAGGCCCCTCTCACAGCACTCTTGCCTGACCACCCCATTCCTTCCACTTGCAGACAGGGCACACCCCTGGGTGTACCTGGGCTACACTTATATGGCTTTTACCACCATATTATCTGAGCACCTTCCAAGTAATTAAAAACAGAGCATCAGTGAATGCTACCTAGCAGCTCTTGACTGGAAAGCTCTCCTAAACTCTACTAAAGCATTGATATATAAACGGTCATGACTGAATATGATTTTTTTAAAATACAGTTTGAGTGTTCTGTGATGTTTTTCCACATATACGGTTTGGGTATTTCCTAAATACTGGAAAAGCAATCTTTAAAAGTTTTGATTCAAATATTTTCAAAACTAAGGACCAAATTCTGAAGCCCTTACTCAAGCAAAATGCCCTTTGAAGAGGCTAAGTCTTGCCTGAATGAGGATTTATTTATTTAAACCTCTGTTAATACTGCTGGACTACTACACTGTTCCTGATTTTGATGTCAGTAATGTAAGAAAATACATATCTAACAGTAATAACTTCATCGTAGGAATAATTCTTAATTTCTTTTCTAAAATAAGACATACCTAGCTCTGTAATTAAGGAAACTTGTGTAACAGTGGCGTTTTGTGTACCCGTAAAGAATGTATTAGCATTTAGGTCAAATTTGGGGGGGAATTATTCTGTGTTAACATGCATAGGAATTAGATCAGTTTCTGGCCCTTATTCCCCACGACTTAAGTGAGATTATTATCACTAAAGCCATTGCTCTGGCAATGTAAAAAGAATACTAATGTGAGAATATATTACACTTATACCTGTTTCAAAATCTTTTTACTGCCAAGTGTGTTTGTGTTAATGAGCCACAGACTCACTGTGGTTTTTTCTTCTTGTTTTCAACCTCATTCAGTCATTACATAGTACTTGTTTTCAAAAATGTTCCTGATTAAATCTCTTCTCAGTGAGGTGAGGGAAGCTGTAAAACCAGGAAACACAAAGCACTTCTATAAACATGTAGGAAAACTATGCTGGAAAGACAATTGTTTCCTTTGTTGTCCTGAACAAACTGCATTTTTAAGCTGTGCAAATTTCACAAGTTGATACCGATGTGCTTCTTGGCTTTGACATGAGAATAGATTGCAAATAATTAAAAAAAAAAAAAAAAAAAAAAAAAAAAAAAGCAAGAGAAGAGGAAAAACAGATAGATAGATCGCACGTTTGAAAGAGCCACCTGGATACCGCATGAAGAATTGCTGCAGTACAGAAGAAAAGCCCCCATGAATCGCACACCACTGGTTATGACATATCATCCCTTCCTCGAACCCATATGGAAAATCCTCAAACAATTGCAACCTATACTAGAAAGGGACCCTATTCTTAAAGAGATCTTCCCAGAACCACCCATCCTAGCCTTCAAACAAGCACTAAACCTCGCTAACCTCATCAGAAACAAACTTTCTCAGGCCCAGAACACACCAAAAGGATCCAGACCATGCCATGACAAGAAATGTAAAACCTACCAACACATCTCCACCACCCCCACAATTACTACACCTGACAGAACCATCAGCATTCCCAGATCTTACAGCTGCTCCTCCAGAAATGTAATATATCTCATCCAAGGCACCAAATGCCCTGATGGAAAATATGTAGGAGAGACCAAACAACAACTGTGCACCAGAATTAATGCACGTCGGAAACTATCAAAGACAGGAATACCCAATTACCTGTGAGGGCGCATTTTTCAGAAGAAAACCACTCTTTATCCAATCTCTCAGGTTTTGTAAAATCCTCAAAGGGAACTTACAAAACACTTCTCAGAGATGAGCCTATGAACTTCATCAACCTCCTGGATACAAAAAAATCATGGACTAAATATAGACATTGGATTTATGACACATTATAACCCGCCTGACATCTGACTCCTCAGGTACCTCTCCACTATTTAACTGCTACATTCATCCCCCTTTTCTCTCCCCTCCCCCTCACCCAGCCTGTCTCTCACCCACTGATTCCTCAATTTACATCTTCACTGACTGCCTGTTTTGCATGCAGACCAGCCTCTGGCTTCTTTACTATTCATTCCATCCGGGAAGAGCACACACCAACTGCAGAGACTTCCTCAGCCTGACAAAGGGTTCTTAAACCCAAAATCTTGCTAAAAAAAAAATATTTCCAACTATTTAAGTTGGTCTAATAAAAAATATCAGATTCACCCAAAGAACCTTGTCTGCCTAGGTCCTCAAACCAACATGGCTACAACCTACACCCTTGATAAATATATAGGTACATGGACCCGCACTGTTCAGTTTCTTTATTAGTGACTTGGACAACAGGGTAAAAAGCAGCCTGTTTAAATTTGCTGATGATACCAAGATTTGGGGTAAGGTGGGCACACTAGTAGGGAAGGACAGATTACAGCAGGACCAGGACAGGTTACAGGGGTGGGCTAACGAAAATAGGATGGATTTTAATACTGGCAAGTGCAGGGTGCTGCACTTGGGCAGTGGGAACCAGCAGCACACTCATAAGCTGGGAAAGTCCCTTCTTGAGAGCACGGTGACAGAGAGATCTTGGAGTCATTATTGACTCCAAGATGAACATGGGCCGACAATGCGAGGTCACGGTCAGTAGGGCTAACTGTACCTTGTCGTGCATCCACAGATGCATCTGAAGCAGGCCCAAGGAGGTGATTCTCCCCCTCTATGCGACACTGGTCAGGCCGCAGCTGGAGTACTGTGTTCAGTTCTGGGTGCCACACTTCAGGTGGGATGTGGACAGCCTTGAGATGGTCTGGAGGAGGGCCACCTGCATGATCCAGGGACAGCAGGGCAATCCTACGAAGAGAGGCTACGGAACCTTAACCTGTTCAGACTTCACACGAGAAGGCTGAAGGGGGACCTGGTGGCCATCTATAAACTCACCAGGGGGGGCCAGCAGAGTTTGGGAGAGACACTGTTCCCCCTAGTGCCCTCCGGGGTAACAAGGAATAATGGCCACAAATTGTTAGAGAGTAAGTTTAGACTAGACATCCGAAGGCACTACTTCACAGTCAGGGTGGCTAGGATCTGGAACCAACTTCCAAGGGAAGTGGTGCGGGCTCCTACCCTGCGGGTCTTTAAGAGGAGGCTTGATGCCTA